ACCTAAGACTGAGAAAATATGATCAAAGATCTACCTCTATAAATTATCAGCAAGCCCATATAATTTTTCAGGAGCATTCTACAACTTTCAAAAGAACAAACAGCATACTAATTTTCTATCATTCAAATTATTCCAGGGTACGGTGAGAAAAAGTAGAAATCTAAATTCATCTACAAGGCTGAGCTAACCCTAACATCAAAACTGAATAAAGAGAGCACAAAGAAACTACGAACCAATCTTACTTTAAATACAGATCTGAAATTATATAAAATATAAATGAATTTAATCCAGCAAGTAATTTTTCATAACCAAATGGTGTTTAGTCTAGAACTGTGGGAATGTTTCAGTGCAGGAAAACACATAAAGATAATTGATTATACTCATAAACTAAAAGCTCAAAAGTCACATGATTTTTATCATTAGATGCCCCAAAGAACTGAGCATTTCAGCACTCACTCCTAAAGCTCATAAAACAATAGTAAACATAACATCAACTGGTGAAATACTAGGCATGTCCATTAAAATAGGAACAAAGCAGAAAGGTCTACCATCACCAAAATTTTCAATACTCTTTAAGATTCTAGTTAATGTAATAATATAAGAAAAATAAATAAGTGATAAAAATACTAGAAAAGAAGATATAAATTATCATTACCTCAAATACTTTAATTTTACATGGTAACAAGAGATGCCACCTAAAGTAACTGTTACCATAAAGAAATCCCAGTGATGGGAAGGAATACAGGATAAATATGTTTTAAAATCCATAGCTCCTCTTTTTGTCATCATAAGCAACTAAAACACTAAATAAATGGAAGAAATGTCTCATTCACCATGATGTGAATTACAATTTAGCCAGGCACAGTGGCTAAATGCCTATAATCCTAGCTATTTGGGAGGCAGAGATCTGGAGACTAGCATTTTGAGGCCCACCAGGGCAAAAAGTTCAAGATACCCATTTCAACCAATGGCTGGGCACAGTGGCATACACCTGTTATCACAGCTACATGAAGAAGCACAAATAGGAGGACCACTCCAGGCATAAAGTGAAACCCTATCTCAAAAATAACCAATGCAAAAAGGGCTGAAGAGTGGCTCAAGTGGTTAAGTGTCTGCCTAGCAAGTACAACCCCCAGTGCTGCCAAAAATTTACAATGAAGCTATTTTCCTGAGACAAGGGTACAGATTTATAATTTTTAAGTCTTTGAAGTACTAATATATGACATTTATTCATATACCCTTAAATAGTTCGCCCACCTAATTACTTCAGTGTGTAATCCTAAAATTATGTAAAGTTAGAACTAATCACAAAGAAAACAACAAAGATTTGAAGGTTTATGGTTTCAACACAACACTAGTTGATTTGGACATTTGTAGCAGCATTAAATCACAGTATAGTATATAACTTGCCAAAAAGTTTCTTATACTGCTGTAATAAAATTGAGAACAGTGATATTAAACCCTAATTATCAGAACTGAAATTCACTTATTTTATATCATTATATAATTTAATATATTTGATTAACAAAGTTCACTTCCATTTCAAATAATAAAAACAGTAGCTGCCATGCCATGCTGCAGGATTCCAACCTTGGCTTGTGTTTCAAACGTTTAGTGGTAAGTTGTGGGGAGAGTCAGGGGAAGCACAGAGAAGGCAGAGAGCTTGCTTTAAAATATCTGGGAAAAAAAAAACTATTACATAAGATAGTCTTATTAAAGCCCTTCTAACAAAAAAAGATAGTTGGCTCTTTGGATCATCACAGAAATAGAGCTACAAATGCAGCACTAACCTTGAGAAAATTCAGATTCAGTCTTGTTTAATCTTGAAATAAACTAGGTTATTTATATATATAAACCTTATGGATATTTTATATAAGGGGAAAACTTGAAAAATACAAGTATGGAAAATAGTACTACCTAAGATGAATTAAGCATCATGGTTAACATTTAAAAATTCAGAATTTACAAGGAAGTGGAATAATGTATGATTTCTAAGTAAAAGATAATTAAGGATAGGTTTCTTCACCCACAGAGATTTCCTTAAAATTTGTTTTTGTTTTGGTTTGTTGGTACTGTGGTTTGAATTCAGGGCCTTGTGCTTGCTAGGCAAGAGCTCCATCACTTGAACCACACCTTCAGCCCTTCTTGCTTCAGTTATTTTTCAAATAGGGTCTTGAATTTTTTGTTTAGACCAGCCTGGACAACAACCCTCCTACTTAAGCTTCTCATGTAGCTGACCACGCCCAGCCCATTAAAATGGGGACTCATGAACTTTTTGTCTGGACTGGCCCAGAACTGTGATCCTCCTGAGTAGCTAGGATTACAGAAGCGAGCAACCACACCCATCTTCCTTGAAGTTTCATAAAGATTTAACTGTTAGCCATGGAGGTAAAGAAGTAATTAATATATCCACTGAAAATACTTAATCTTGAGTGGGGTGTGGTGGAGGTGGAGGCAGAAGGTTTGTAAATTTGAATTCAGCCTGGACTACACAGTGACACCTTGTCCCCCCAACATAAAATAAAACAATGCAAAAAAAATACTCTCTAAATATTACTCCAAAATTAATTCGTAAGCTCATTAATTCATTGGATAGAAATGTGTTGAGTACCTACTATGTACTAAGCACTTTGATCACTGGGAGGCAAAATAAAAATACTGTCACATTTAACACATTCAATACATGAAGCAAAGTTCTGAGCAGGCAAGACAATACCCTTGGGAAACTGTATTTTAAATCCTCTCACTATTCCATTAGTTTATTTCTACCCCAAGGATTCTTACCCAGTTCTAAAATAAGAGCACAAAAATTACCTCAATAAGACAATACAAAAGAACAGAAATGTAAGAGGAGGGAATAGCTCTGAAACCTTGTTCTATTTGCACTCAGGAGTGCAGCTAATGTTCAATGTTCTCTTCAAAGAAAATGCTGATTTAAAAGAACAAAAAGTACAACCAGCTTTAACGTCTAAAAAAGTACGTTGTGTAGCTCTTACTAAAGTTAGCAAAAGACCAAAACGGAAAAAATATAAAAACAAACCTTTATTCTAAGTTATATAATGACATTCACCATAGTAATGATCTTCTACTTTAGTAGATGACTTTTTAAAATAAATATTGCCAGCAGGTAGAAATTTTTCCTTTGCTGTCTTAAGACAGTCTTAGAGTTTTTAGCAGTGTGTTTGCTCACAATGTGCCACTTGAAGGAAATGTCACTTCTATTACCTAAATCATGTATCTTCTAGAAGGGTGATATAATTGGGAGGGGTGCCACATTGCTTCTTCCCAAGAAAAAAATGATGCATTACATTTTATATGTGTATACATATGTATCTCATACATATGTACATATTCAACAAAGGTTTGATTTTGATGTCAATCTTCCTCTTTCAACTGATTCAGTATTCTCAGGGTGACTCTAAACTATAATGCTTTTCATATCCTATTCAGTCATCAAGCATGTATAGATACCTTCTGCATGCCTAGCTTCACATCAGATGAAAGGAAGAAGCAAAAGAAAATAAGACAGCCCTGTCCTTCAGAATCCCGGGAACTCTTTCAGGAGCAAGATCAAGCATATAATTTATTAAACGAATGCCAAAAACCAATGGTACAGGTCTAGTGCATTTTGCATTTATGTAGAATTTTAGAGCGTTGAAATACTTTCACATATTTAATACAAAGAACAATCTTGTGAGGAAACATATATTAGTTCTAGTTTAGCAATAAGGAACCTAGTTTCTGAATTTTAAGCAACATGCTTCAATCACACAGATAAAGGGGAAGAGTCCAGATTCAAGCCAGGATTTTCTGATTCTAATTCCAGTGATCTTTTTAATATAGCAAAGGAAACCAAAGATGGGATGCTCAACAGGACAACAGCCACCTTCTGCTAGAGGTGGAACTGTGGCCAGCCAAATATACAAATCAATTTCTGCAAACACTTCTACTACAGTGTAATATTCATAATCTTAGTACCTTTACCTCAATAAGAGCTCTGCTCCCAAAAACGGGAATGTGGGATGTAATAAAAAGCTGCCTTAATGGACTCATTCAAATCTTAAATCATAAATATCATCCTTAAAAGTCTAGTATCTAATTACTCCTTACATATGTTGTGTTTTCCCTCGGCACCAGACTAACTCGCCCATTCTTTTCTTGCTCCTTCCACTAATTTTAAGATGTCAATGAGTAACCCTATCCAAAATTCTACAAATTCACCCCAGTTTTGTCACCGGTCCCTAACAGCCGTGCAGACACCTTCCCTCTCCCTCCCGAAAGATATGGTACCGAGTTCAGATTCTGCAGGTGGCGTCGCAACGCTGTCACACAGCACTGACAGATAAGGTTTGACCTTTCGACTCCGTCCTTGGGGACCTCCCGCCGGCCGCGTGACGTAGTTCCAAGCCGGGGCAAAGGGATCCGAACTGGGAAATGCAGCCCCTGGCAGAGCACGGTCCGAAGCGACGTCTCCGACAACTAGAACGCTGTTGGACAACCGAGTGTGCATCACTCCGCCACATACTCCTGCCAACTGCAGGGGACTCGGTCCTGCAGCCAGTCCATCCCACCCACCCAGCAAGTCCGGAGCGGCCGGACCTCACTCAGGACCCCAATAACAGGTCGTTGGCGGCAGCGGCAGCAAAAGCCAGGGCCGCCCGCCCGCAGTGCCCATAGCCGCCAACCTAAGTCTCCCCCAAGACTGGACCGCAGGAAAGCGTTTCTATGGGAACTCCTGGGGAATCACGTGATGTTCGAAGGCAGCCAATTGCCTTTTAGCTCAGCCTTAGCCCGCCCCCGCCTCCTTCGCAAGGCCCTGCCCCTTTCCTGCGGCAGGCCCGCGCCTGCGTACTGTGTCCCGCACGCTCCCTGGCGCGCGCTCCCCGGGGAGTGCGGGGGCGGAGTCGGGGACGCGAGGAGCGAGCGAACCTGAGCAGGAAGAAGCGCAGCCAGCGCGCAGGCGCAGAACCGCCCGAGCCGCGGCTGCCGGCGACGCCCCAGAGCGGAAGAGGGAAGTGAATCCGACTTTGGGCTGTGGGTTCGTGCTGTGGTAGAGGCAGAACCGAGAGGAGGCCTGTGCAGCCGGTCCGGATCGGGGATGTCGAAGAACACGGTGTCGTCGGCCCGCTTCCGGAAGGTGGACGTGGATGAGTACGATGAGAACAAGTTCGTAGACGAGGAAGACGGCGGCGATGGTCAGGCCGGGCCCGACGAGGGCGAGGTGGACTCCTGCCTACGGCAATATCCTTGCGGTGGCAGCTGTTCCCACCCCGGTCCCCTGGGCGTACCGGGGACCCTTCCTCTCTCCCGCCCTCCCTGGGACGTCTCTCCCGGGGCCGCACGCCGAGCGGCCCGGTCGAGCCTGTCTTTCGGGTCCCTGGTTCCGAGTAGGCAGAGCTTCCCGCTTTCCACCGGGGTCCGCCCCGCCACACGTCCATGCCCAGTTGCTCAGGTTGCGCGCTGCACAACCTCGGAGGTCCGGCCGGCCGCGGAGGGAGGCGGGCGGGCGCGCGCGCAAGTTTCCTCCCGGGACTCTGCTTAAAATTTGCGATTGGGAGACGGGCGTGTGTCTTCGCCGGTTTTCGTTTCCCTCGATGTGCTTTTTGGTTTTGGTAATGTTAGGACAGTTTGTTCCTTGCCTGGAGAGATGGAGAGGTTCGCAAACCCAGGCCCTTTGTACTTTTAGCCCTTGGGCTTTTTTTGGGGGGGTGGGGGGATTTCAACAGAAAAGGAGTTGGCAAAATAGAGGTTGTACATAATTTCCTAACCAGGTGTGGAGACTGAATGCAAAACACCAAAACTTGGAGTTCTTGGAAGGTTGGAGCCTTTTACCTGCTAAGAAATGAACAATGGGGGATGCATGTGGGGATCCCAGAGACTATTTCAAATAAACCCCAATGAATGAAATAGATGAGTCACACGTATAAAGCAGAATCATTTTTGTGATCCTGAAGTTGTTTCCATTTTAGTGAAAATATGGCTGTCAGTTCCTGGCTTCTGGTTTTGAGTGTTTGAATATTCATAATCTTGGATTAGCATTTGCCTCAGATCTCTTGTTGAAAAAAACAAGAATTGTAGCTTTAGAAAATCTCCATTACTAGATCCTTATATATTTCTAGTTACCCTTTGGTGTTTTCTTAACGAAGGCTCTTTCCTCATCAGTGTCCTATTAAATTATGATGGGGAAACATTTGGTCACAACTCTTAGCTTGTCATAAAGGCACCAAAATACAGCTTTAAACATTTACTAGTGTGTTGTACAGGTTTTCCTTTGATTGCCCCAGCTTTCACAATCAGTTGTTGCTATTTCGATTATTTAGACACTTGTGAAGTAGTTTGAACCTTCAAAACAAACAGCCAATCTACACAAGGCACACTTCTTTAGAACTCCGTACTGCCTTGACATACCAGCTTATCACCAACCTTAGACTTCTTTCCTCTGATCTTTTTCTTCGGAGGATAAGTGGTGACATTACTCTTCCTAAAAACATTGTTTGGGACTGAATGAATGATGGTTTGTGAAACAAATGTATTTTAAATAATTTTGATGAGCCCCACATAGTAATGCTGTATCGTATCAGTGAATGTACGTTTCAATCAATTCTTCTTAAAATACAAAGGTTTTGTCTCTTCTTACCCAAGTCCTAGCCAGGAGAGACAGCCCTAGTCTGGTTGGGTACAACAGATGGAGGAACAAGTGAACTCTATGTGGTTTTCCTTTTAGGGAAATGACTGTACATTCTGACAATCTGATTGGCCTTCTGTTTCTCATGCTTGCCTAACTCACTGGTGCTTTCAGAGACAGACTAAATTTAACAGCTATGGTCTAGCAGCTTGACTAATCTTTATGAAATATGAAAGAATATCTAAGACAAAAAACGAACTGCCTCCTAAGGGTCATATGAATTATTACATCTTCTGTAATACCTTTTCAATATCGAGAGATTGCTAATGTGTATCATTCAGATTACTAGAGTAATCTGCCAGCATATTCTACCAGCATGTAAATTAATCTATAATATAGTTTCTAACATAGAGTTTGATCTTTATTTTTCCAATTAGAATCACATAAGGAGATGTATTTTGGTTGATCTGCTGTTTCATTTGGGTGCCTAATAATTGTAGGATATAGTTTAGGGTTTCTTTAACACCGGTCTAGGTGATGTTTGCATAGTGTTTCCCTGGAAGATGAAAGATTATCAACGTGTTCACTTGATAGAACCAAGGATGGAAGTCTTTTTTATAATTCTCTATTATCTTTTAATTTCAGTATTTTACTTTTGATTGACATATTGAAACCAAAACATTGAATTTCCTATAAAGAGCACAGTGACCATAGTAATTTTTCTTATGCATGAAGTTAAGTCTTAAAAGCAGTAGTTCCAAGTGGTGATAATGCTTTCCCGAGGGCTGCCCCTTGCTGTTATCTCCTTAACCTCCATCACAGGAAACATGACAGCTGCTCTCCAGGCAGCTCTGAAAAACCCCCCTATCAACACCAAGAGTCAGGCGGTGAAGGTGAGTCATGGACTGTATCAGTGATCTCTGCTGATACATTACTGTTCCTTCCAAAATCCTCTGGCATCTCATAAAGTTAACAAATATTTCAAGTATTTACTATCTTTGTCACAGAAGAGCTTACAGTGTATTTTTTATTTTACTCTATTTACTTGTTTACAGTACTGCAGATTGAATCCAGGGCCTTGTGGTAAGCAGATGTTCTGCCACTGAGCTACCCCCATCCCACCACTGCTTATTTTTTTATTTTGAGATGAGGTCTCACTAACTTACCAAGGCTGGCCTCCTAAGTAGCTGGCTTAAAAGTGTGCTTCACCTCACCCAGCTACAGTGTACTTTGGTAAGTGTAAATTTTATATGAAAACATAATTGGAGTTATGACAATGCTGGATCGTAGACAAAGTAGATTCAAAGGACAGAGAAATCTTTCCTGTGTTTTAAGAGGAAGCCCCTCAGACTGAACTTAAGCAAAGACTTGAAGAAGTAAAGCTTTTTACCAAAATAAACAGATTCTACTTATTCTTAAAGCATTTTTAAATTATGAAAATGCTAAGTATTTACTACAGAAAGCAAAGACATATGAAGGGATTAAAAGGGATCATAATACCACTACTCGGAGATAACAGTTACTACTTTCTGGTTTTGCTGTATCCTTTGCTTGTCTATGACTTTTAGAGCCTGCTCTTTTGACCACATAGAATGAACATGAACTTCCCTCCTTAGCAATGTGTTTATTTCTATAGCATTTTTAGTAGCTGTGCACCAGTATGCTGCGCTTTACATGTAACTGACCTCCTTTTGTCATATATTTCGATTAAATCTTTCTTTTCTGTCAGTACTGTTCTAGGCAGTGCTGAAATGAGTAATCTTGGGTAAATCTTACATTCTTTCCCTTCTATAGATTCCCCTCTGTGAAATGCTGGATCAAACAGTGCACATTTTTTTAAGGCTTTTGGTACATAAGGTATTACCCAATTGCCTTTCAGGAAAGTTGTGCAACTTACGTTCATTCCCTGCAGCAGAATTTGACTAATTCCTAAGGATCTATTTTCTTGGTTAGTTATTATTTAAAATGAAGCCTAAAAGCATCAGCCTGCTGTCAGTGGCCTCAAGACTCTCCCTGTTTAAGTAGTAGTAAATAATAGGTAAATGCATACTACCAATTTTTTTTTTTTTGCCATACTGGGGTTTGAACTCAGGACCTCACACTTGCTATGCAGGCACTCTACCACTTACCACTTGAGCCATTCCGCCAGAAATTCTTATAAGGAGAAAGTTTTCTTCGGTTTTTAAAAGTTGTCAGGAGCATCATTGAACCACCTTCTGCTTTTCTGTGGGTAGTTTTATCACAGCTTATGGGTGGGAGGTTATAATTCTGGATGCAAAGACATTTTCTAAATCAGGTAATTGCATGGTCTTTAAAGTGAAGATAACAATAGGTGGTAGGAACATTCTGTAAGATCCTGACCAGGACGAATGCAGAGGATCCAACTTTGTGTTGACTAGAAGGAAAAACCAATGGTCGAAGGAGTCAGTTAATTAAGTATTGCGTGGCTGAATGGGTAAGAAAATAGGTTTGCTTTTGGAACAGGTTTTTACCAAAGAAAAAATCACCACCAGTGAACGTCACAGTATCGCATATCTGTAGATAAAAAACTTAAAACCCAAAATAAGTTTTCTTAAAATTTTATAATAAAGAGTTTTTAAGAAAAACTATTTCTGAAGGAAATAATTTAAGGTAGACCTGCAAATCACTTTCCTTGTTTTGTCAGAATTTTTTAAGACCTAGAAGTAAAGTTTAAATGTTTAATAAATTGTTACATTGTCCCATTGACCTGTTACTAAGTCCTCTCAGACCTACCTTCAGTCTTGCCAGGAATCTGACTGCCCTTATTGCTACCATGCTAACTAGAACCAGCCTGCGTTATTGCAGTACTTCCAAATTGGTCTCCCTGCTTCTGCCTTGCCCCACCACCACAGCTTACTCTCACCATAGACACCAAAGTGATTCTATCAAAATGTAAGTCAGATTTTGTCACTGCTCTTCTCATTTCCCTCAGAGTACAAGGCAGAATCCTTCTGATGGCCTACAGGCCTTCCATGACCTCTCTGACTTCTCTATCTGCTCTCCCACTGCTCTGCTCTAGCCGCACTGGGTCTTTGAACACACTTGTTCTTTCCTCTGTCTGGAACACTTACCATGTCACCAGCATTTCCTCTCTCACATCTTTCAGGTCTTTACTTAAGTGTCATCTTGGCTGGCCTTTCTAAAACTAGCCTCTCACACTCACGTCTGAGTGTTTGGTTTTGTGTTCACCTCCAGGATCGGGCTGGCAGCATTGTCTTGAAGGTGCTCATCTCTTTTAAAGCTAATGACATTGAAAAGGCCGTTCAATCTCTGGACAAGAATGGTGTGGATCTCCTAATGAAGTATATTTATAAAGGCTTTGAGAGCCCATCTGACAATAGCAGTGCTATGCTATTGCAGTGGCATGAAAAGGTAAGTTATGAATTACAAATCTTTGTAACTGGTTCCTTGATAATAGAAAACAATGACTCACCTTAAATGCATGAAAATGAGAAGTTGAGATTTGTGCGTAGTAGCCTTGGTCTTAAGAGAGTCTGATGTACAGCACATATATTTATTCATTTACATTTGGCACAAACATTGTCTTGAACTTTGAATTAAATGAATACTTTGCAAAAGAAAATAAAGAATAAAAACCAAGAATTCTTTTATACTTATCAAAAAATGAAAACAACCCAAGATGAAGATAAAATGTGGTATACTCAAACAAGGAGATATTATTAAAACATTAAAAGGAGTGAAATTCTGATACATGCTACAACATGGATGAACCTGGAAAATACGGTACTAAGTGAAGTAAGCCAGACACAAAAGGACAAGTATTTTATATTTCTGCTTATATGAAAGAATGTGGAACAGGCAAATCGTAAGAGACAGAAAGGCATTGGCAGTTACCAGGGATGGAGGAAAGGGAGGACTAGAGTTACTGCTTAGTGGATGCAGGATTTCGGGGGTGATGAAAAGTTTTGGTGACATGGTGATGGCCGCACCACATTGTGGGGGTAGTAATGCCACTGAGTCTCACTCTGAACGATGGCTAAGATGCCAGAATTTTTACATATTCTACCAAATTTAGAAAAAAGAGAAATTGGGGAAAATCAAGAATTCTTTATTGGTTTTTTTCATTTTCAAGCATTTCATTTTTCGTTGTAAGCAAATGTTAGCATATCATTTCATCAAAAAAGAAAGAATTGTGAACTCTTTAGTTACAAGTTGGCAAGGTCACCTTTAGTACCTAACTCTCACACTGGCAAAAATACAGACAGTAACATTTAAGTAGAACCAACAGGTAAGTAATATTTTCTCTAATATTAAAATCTCACAGCTCAGTTTTTGGAAATGATTGTCTTAAGTATCTGAGTAAAACCCATGTGTGAGACAAAAAGAGATGATACTCACAGGTTGGGTAAGCATTCCTCACGATTTTCCCAACATCGCCCCCACCTGTACCTGTTGTTCACGCATAATTACAGATAGTCCCCCTTTCACTCTAAAGCGTTCCCACTTGGAGATGAATTTATATATTCTTCTTATTCATGGGACACTTCCTGTTTGCCAGGCCCCATACTAGTCACATTTCATTTAATCCTCACAACTCGGTGAGGTATATAAACATCTTTATCATCTTCAATTTACAGATGGAAAGCCAACTTTGAAGCTCAAGCAACTGAGGATATGGCTTAGTGGCTGAGCACTTGCCTAGCATGCATTCAATCCCCAGCATTGCAAAAGAAAAAAAAGAGCCTAAGCAGCCTAGGTCTAGTATATTCAGGTTTCTGTATTCTAAACATTCTTCCAAGGACTTAATAAATATTAATTTATTTAATCTTCATAAAAATACTAGGAGGAAAAACTTGCTGTTATCCTCTTTTGTAGGTGAGGAGCTAGAGGCATGTGTTAAGTCTTCATTTCTCTTTAACATCTGTCACCAGTTTTTGTCAGTCTTACCTTCTAAGCACTTAAGTCCATCCACTCAAGAGCATCTCTAATGCATGGCTCACAGCATCTCTCTAGTCTGTTGCTATAGCTTCCTAACTGGTTTTCTAGTTACCAGTTTTGCCTCCCTCAAATCTGTTCTCCTCTAAGCCACCAGAATGATCTCTTTAAAATCTAAATGTGCCCTTATCAGTTACTTGTAGAATAAAGTCCATGTCCTTCCCTTAGGCTACTGCAGTACCAGCCTTTTCGCTGAATGTGCCATACCATTTCATACCTTTGTATATTTGTTCATGATTTTTTGGTGTCTGTCTGTTACCTCATCCATTCAACTTGTGATTTTTCTCCAGGAAACCTTACCTGAAGCATTCCTTTGTGCTGTCAGTCTGGGTATATGCCCCTGTGCCTGTGCTTTTGTGGGACCCCCTAAGCATAACTTTAATATTTCATATATTATATTAAAACTTTCTGTTTATATCACTGTCTCTACCATTAGGCCAGAAGAAGGTATATTTGTCTACTTTCACATCCTCTGCCTCTAGCCTAGTATGCAATACACAGATGTACTAAGCAAGTATTTTTTAAACAGTATATTCAGGTTCCAATCAGGTTCCAACAGTATTCAGAGCTTCCAATCCCTAACTTACCATGACTTTCGGTTTTTCAAGTTACATTAAAATTTCGAAGTCCTTAGCGCTTCAATAGTATCTTTTTATCTTAGGGGGGGAAAAAATCTGACAGACTTTGGTTGAAGTGGAAGTTGGGATAGTTGATTGCAATTGAATTTTTCTTCATAACAGGTTAGAATGAGAGATGTGGAATGTCCTGACTTTGTATTTGAGTGCCTGTTTTAGGCAGGAACATGCTGCAGGTTTTTAAAAACATTACTTAAAAATAATGTACTGGAACTAGTATCTGACTAGAAAATAAGCTTGCGAGGGTGGGGACATTGAAAGTTTTGTTTATTATTGTAACCCTGGGGCTCAGAACAACGCCTGGTGCATAATTGGTGCTTAGGATGTACTTATTAAGTGAGTGAATTCACAGTCTAGGGCTGTATACATCTCTCTTTAAGAAAAATGTTTTACTCAATATGAGTCTTGATCTTTAATGACTCTGCGAACATTTGCTTTTGGTTTGTTTTAGGCACTTGCTGCTGGAGGAGTAGGGTCCATCGTTCGTGTCTTGACTGCAAGGAAAACCGTGTAGTCCAGCTGGAACTGGATATCAGCCGTGGGAGTGGGAGTTGCTGGTACAAAGACCAAAACAACCAAATGCCATTGCTGCCCTGTGGGTAGCATCTGTTTCTCTCAGCTTTGCCTTCTTGCTTCCTTTTTCATATCTGTAAAGAAGAAAACTACGTATCAGTTTTCCTTTAATGAAAATTGGGATAATATGCAGGAAATTTTGTTTGACAGGAGTGTTTTCATCCTCTCTTAACCATTTCAATGATGTATGTGTAATTTACATTCAAGTTTAATTGTGCAATTTTTAACCTCTATTGACTGGTTTTTGTGTTGTTTTATATTATTTTTAACTAATACTGAGATATCTGATCAGAATTTGAGGCCAGTTTCCTAACTCATTGCTAGTCAGGAAGTGATCTTTATTTTAAAAAAAGAAGAGAGAGAGACTGGCAGCTATTAACATTGCAAAACTGGACCATGCTTCCCTTATTTAAGCAAAATGTGTTTCCGGAATGAGTGGTAGATGAACACCACTTTCAATTTCCAACTTTATTTCTGCTTGCCTCCAGATGATGCTGTGAGTTTAAAAATGCTCATTCCATTCAACATCCAGTTATCATGGCTTCTCAATTTCTTTGTGGTCACCCAGGGTCCAGAGCAAGAAGTCTTGCTCTATATATGATGTATAAAATATCAGAGCCTGTGGCGTATGCACACCAGACTTTTCCAATAATACGACTCTGTTTGGGGAAACTACTCCAAATCAGAAAGGCTGCAGAAACTACGATGTAATTCAAGCTGGGCAGCCTCTGAATGAAATACTATTTTCTTTAGAAATACAGTAGCTGCCTTAGACATAATGAGGTATACAACAAGTATTTGATATACAATTTAATATGCCCTATAAATCTCTTCAGTGTTTTTCAGGGTAATTGGAATCTCCGAAGATTTGGTTCATATCCAAGCAAATATACATTCTGTATTTCAGCTCAGTGTTTTTTAAGAAAAGAAAATGCTGTACAACAAAAACTTGTTTACTTTGTTGGATAAACCAAATTGTTTCTCAAAACATGACCGGTGCTTACAAAAAGTTATTACAAATTAACTCCAAAACAAACCACCTGAATGCATATAACAAAGAGGGAAATCAGCCTGTATTTAGTATTTACATTGGATACCAGTTTCAGAATCACTGACTTAAGTGAGAACTGGTACAGAAATTCTATATAAACTCTTTGCTGTTTTTTGATACTTGCTTTTTGTTTTGTTTTGTTTTGTAAAAATGATAAACTTCAGAAAATAAAATGTTAATGTTGAGTTTATTTTTCTTACTTTAATACTTACGAATGTATGATCAGTTAAGAGGGACATTTTCCTTGCGCTCCCATTATGTATTGTACTCTGAGTGGAACTAATTTGATAGGACTTATAAAACTATACAAATATGAGGTAGTAGAGAAGTCATTGGTGATGTCAGAGTACTGCTGACATCATGCTGAGTGAATCTGTAGCATCACGACTCAAGTGTGCAAACTCACCAGCAGCTGCAGTCATTTATTCCATCTTCTAAACTCTCCCATCTCAAACCTATTTCTTATTGCTGTCTACATAGAGCAAATTCAGTTTGCTTTTCCACTACACCTGTCTAAATTCCTACTTTAAAGCTTAAAAAGTTTTCAGGCAATGCAGAGAGGGTTGAGTTAAGACAAGCTAATCAGTAGGTTTTAGAGGTAATCAAGTAGGTATAGCATAACCACTTCATCTTTTTAAAATGAAAAACCAATATTGTACTGCTTTTTTATTGATTCTTAATATGGCTTTCATGACTAAAATGTTGGGGAAAGTTTTGCAGTTCCATATTCTATGTTCACAAGAATGTATGATCAGTTAAGAGGGACATTTTTAAAAATCTGCCAACTTTACTTGGGGAACATAGTAAAAATGTAACAAGCAGTCCAGCATAGGGACTATATCAGAGTGGATACCAGCTGGAAACAGCTGGCTCACTGATACATCTCAGCCCAGGTAGTAGTAACCATTACATAACACCATCCTTGGTGGAGAGTGAGGGCTAGAATTAATTGTGGAAAAAAATGTGCCAAGGGGCACTTTTGCACAAAAGAGGTTATTATTCCTTTCTGCTTTAATCTTGGTGGTTTTATTGTTTGGTTTGCTTGTCTTACATTTTTTAAAAGTGAAAAAATGGCAAACATACTCTTGGTTGTTAGGTAGCAGCACCATTTAGCCAACAGTCATACTTGATACATATGATGATATCTTCAGGAAATACATTAATACATGTGAAATTGATTTGTAGATCCTGTGATCAGGATCGTGAGGGGTATAGCAAAAGAATAGATCACAGGTTGCTTCCACCTTAATTTGGAAGTGAGGTTTAGGTACTTTGAAAGTGGGTTTAATGATCTGATTTAAAATTCTAGAGTGAAAGCTCCTTATTAAAAAGGATCAGTATATCTCCATGATGGGTTCAAGACAGTAAGGATATTAGAAAAAATCATGGAGGTTTTTTGTTCATTTAGTATAGCTGAAATAGATATTGATGGCTACTTAATCCCATACCTTTTCTAACAGTTAAAAAGAATGGGGAAATTAAACTTTATAAGAAGGAAGTCGTCTTAAATTAGTAATAAAGAGCTTCACTTACTAAAAAATGATTATGAATAACTTTACCCTATCAGTATTCTTTATTATTTGTTAAAGTTGTTAATTATGTCTCCTAGTGTCCACTGAAAAGTAGCGTGTTAATATCGAGGTCTCAGTAGTATAACCTATTCCATGTGGCCCAGAGTTACTCTCAGCGAGTAGCACACTGAAGACAGTTTGTGGTGGCAATGTGGCTTTTTCTTTTTCATAGCCAGATTCTCAGAGTAGGTAGATTAAAACACAAAAGTCTTCATTAAGTACTTCCCTCCAGACCCGAAGCTGAGAGAATATTTATAATCTGATCAAGACCAAGCGATTGGTAGGTGCCAGAGCAGGGATTCCAACCTACACCGGCCTCTCCAACGTTAGGCCATGCTTCTTTCTTAAGTCTGGTACTTGGGGAGTAGACATGTTTCCAGGACAGGAGGGACTTGGGGCAGACTGTAAAAAGGTAAGATCAACCCAGGAGCCCTTTAGGCAGCAACAGTTGGCAAATGTAGAAGTCAAGCAAGATTTACAGAGGCATACTCAGCAGCACACCAAGCACGGCTGTTTTTTTCAATGTGAGTTTGAACCTGATACTTAAATCTGTAAAAGCATGGGGTAAAAATCCAGTCACACAATCACCAGAGAAAACGACATGCTTTAAGAAACCCAAATTCAGTCACTTTTTGTTTTAGTAGTTTTGTTGTGGGTATTGACCCATAGTTTGTTTTCTGTTTTCATAGATGGTATATTTTAACTAATAAACTATTCAATTAATTTTATTATAATTCCATTTAGCAAGAACCAGAGCTGCAGTGGGTGCCATGGCTCATGCCTGTAATCCTGGCAGGAAGCAGAGATCAGGATAATTGCAGTTCAAAGCCAGCCAGAGCAAATAGTTGTCAAGGCTCTATCTTGAAAATATCCAACACAAAAATGTTGAGTGGCTGAGTGGCTCAAGTGGTAGAATGAGACTGCCTAGTAAGCATGAGGACCTGAGTTCAAACTCCAGCACTGCCAAAAACAAAAAGAACCAGAGCTGCGATACCATGTCATTAGTCTAAAGAGATTATTTGTCATAACTAAAACTTACATTTACACACACCTCCACGTTACAGACAAATGCCAAAAAGCACCAAAATCATTGGGAATAGGAATTGAGAAAACAAGTCAACGGTCTTTGGACATTTTAGAAGGTGGTGTCGTGTTCCCACCCTGGCCTCTCCCCATCTCCCTCTTCTCTTCAGCCCCGAACCTCTGATAGCATAGCGGGAAACCCCAGAGTCAAAGCCATGTGTGGACTACAATGGTGCGGTGATGCCTCCTACGCCAGTCAACAGGGTTCCTTCTGGGAACCCTGCAGAGGTACAGCTTAGTGTCAGCCTCTAGGTGGTGCTCCTTCACCACACTGATGACCCAGCCACAAGCCACATGGGACACAGCTGTTGCTTTGTCATTTCTGTTTTCCTTCATCATTTATGTTCCTTAGAATTTAAGAATAATAAACAAATTATCTTTGTTTACATCTCATTTCTATGAGAAACAGTTCCCTGTTTGCATGAAATACAAGTTGAGTAGTATAAGACTCACCTGAATTCCACTATCCAGCCTCCTAGGAAACCCCTATTTTCCAGCCTACCATTTCACTCATGCTATGCAGGGCACAGCCTCTAGACCTTTCTACTAGACTCTGCCCCTCACCCCCAACCCCGAAGTCACAGTAGCTGTGTCTTACTCAGCCCTATAATCCTTTAGCATTGTTGATACTCAACAAACATTTGGTTGCAAAATGCTGATTTTGGGCCCAAGATAACACCAGGTTATGTGCACAGGACTCTAGGGTACAACAAATAATCTAGATTCAGTCAGGTTTAGTCACAAATGAATTCAATGCAATGTAGACATTTAAGCAGAGAACGTACCAGACTTACCATGCTACCGTGGGTAGCATGGATAGCCCTTATAGTGTTTAGCTCTGCCAAAAGTCAGCAGAGAAAATGACCAAGGGACAGAATTGCAGCTCACATCTGGCTATTGGTGAATTCACAGAAATTGATATGGTACAGCTTTATCATTTTCATGACACCAACATGTGAGGTCAGAGATGTGTTTCAATACTCTGTTTCCATTCAAGATAAAAAATAATAATTAAATAACATCCATGAGCTTCTATCACCTTTCCCAACTGTACTTAGTTCTAATCATGCCAACCCCTATGATTGAATGCCATAAGCACTGAATAACATTATGCTTCCTTTTGTTTATCCCAAAATTGAATCAAGATTCCAGAAACAATCTAAATTAAGATTCTCTTCTACTTGATGACTGAGTTAAGGTCAGTGACCAGCAATTTTATAATTTTGTTCATCTTAATTTTTACTCATTTATTCTCAAATGGTTCATTATGGCTTAATATTCAAAAGGTTAAAAAAAATGTACTGTGGTAATCCTCCCTCTTACTCTACTGACCCTTTTGACAATCAAATAAATTCTTTGGGCATCCTTCCAGATGGAGCGTTTGCATTTGCAAGTGCTTATATATTTCCCCCTTTTGACTTACATAAGTATAAAAAAACTACACATAGTGTTCTGTGTGTTGCTTTTTTCATTAAATGTATATTTAATGACAATTTCCTATCTGCATATAAGAAAATTTTTTATGATTGCATAATATTGTATAAGTAAATGAACCTACACACTTAACTATTCATTTCCCTATTGATTTAGGTGGTTTCTGATTGTTTTGCCATTATAAACAATACCACCATGAATAACATTATACATAAGTCAGTTTATATATGTTCCAGCCTATTGGTTAATAAATTCATAAAAGTGAAATTTTAGATCAAAGAATACATATTATTGTGATAGGTATTGCTAAATTGCCTTGCTCAGGCAATACTCAGTCAAAAGAACAATGCTGGAGGTATCACGATACCTGACTTCAAACTATATTACCAAGCAATAACAATAAAAACAGCATGGTACTGGCACAAAAACAGACATGAAGACCAGTGGAACAGAATAGAGGACATGGATATGAAGCCACACAACTATAACCAACTTGTCTTTGACAAAGGAGCTAAAAATGTACGATGGAGAAAAGACAGCCTCTTCAACAAAAACTGCTAGGAAAACTGGTTAGCAGTCTGCAAAAAAATGAAACTAGATCCATGTCTATCACCCTGTACTAGTATCAACTCAAAATGGATCAAGGATCTTAATATCAGACCCCAAACTTAAAGTTAATACAGGAAAGAGTAGGAAATACTCTGGAATTAATAGGTATAGGTAAGAACTTTCTCAATGGAACCCAGCAGCACAGCAACTAAGAGATAGCATAGATAAATGGGACTTCATAAAACTAAAAAGCTTCTGCTCAACAAAAGAAATGGTCTCTAAACTGAAGAGACCACCCTCAGAGAGGGAGAAAATATTTGCCAGCTACACATCAAAGGACTGATAACCAGAATATATAGGGAACATAAAAAACTAAATTCTCCCCAAATTAATGAACCAATAAAGAAATGGGCAAGTGAACTAAACAGAACTTTCTCAAAAGAAGAAATTCAAATGGCCAAAAAACACATGAAAAAATGCTCACCATCTCTAGCAATAAAGGAAATGCAAATTAAAACCACACTAAGATTCTACCTCACCCCTGTTAGAATAGCCAGCATTAGCAACACCACCAACAACAGGTGTTGGTGAGGATGCGGGAAAAAAGGAACCCTCTTACGCTGTTGGTGGGAATGTAAACTAGTACAACCACTCTGGAAAAAAATTTGGAGGCTTCTTAAAAATCTAAACATTGATCTACCATATGATCCAGTAATGTCACTCTTGGGGATATACCCAAAAGACTGTGACACAGGTTACTCCAGAGGCACCTGCACACCCATGTTTATTGCAGCATTATTCACAATAGCCAAGTTATGGAAACAGCCAAGATGCCCCAGCACTGACGAATGGATTAAGAAAATGTGGTATCTATACACAATGGAATTTTATGCAGCCATGAAGAAGAACGAAATGTTATCATTCGCTGGTAAATGGATGGAATTGGAGAACATCATTCTGAGTGAGGTTAGCCTGGTCCAAAAGGCCAAAAATTGTATGTTCTCCCTCATATGTGGACATTAGATCAAGGGCAAATACGACAAGGGGATTGGACTTTGATCACATGATAAAGTGAG